CCAAAAACAGTTGGCCCTCCTGGTCCAAAAACAGTGAGCCCTGGCCCAAAAACTGTTAGTCCTCCTCCTCTAAAGTCAACTGGTCCTCCTCCTCTAAAGTCGACTGGTCCTCCTCCTCTGAAGTCGACTGGTCCTCCTAAAGCCAACCCCCCTCCCAAGCCTAACTCTGCTTTAGGCCCTCCTCCTCCTCCCCCTAATCGCTCCTCTTCCTCATCTTCCATAGACTCTTCTTCTTCAAGACCCCTCCCTCCTCCCCCGGGGGTCGGTGGGAACAGGGTCAGGGGGGCTGCCCCTCCCCCTCCTCCCAGTCGAGGGGGGCAGTCCAGACCTCCTCCTCCCCCCAGCAACAGACACAGTGTGGGTGGGTCTAATCGAATTAATCCCCCGCCCCCTCCCCCAGCAAGAGTCGTGTCCCCCGTTGAAAAGAGTGCTCCTGCTACTACAATGCCTCGTGTTGCTCCACCGCCCCCTCCTTCTCGGGGACCTGAACAGGTCAGTAATCTCTTGTTTATTATTAGTAATCCCTTGTATATGGCATGCATTAGTATAGTCTCTTGTATATTTCTTTTAGTAATCTCTTGTATATGTCATAGTGTAGTGTATGTATTGTTGGCATTTTGCATACAATATAGTTTTGACAGTGTCTTGGTGTTATTGTATCCAATACTAGAGAAATTACAAGGCACGTTAGAAGGAAATGCAATGTATTGAGGAATAATGTTTATATTGCAACTGGTCTGGTTTTGTTTAGAGATTAGGGACCATCATGATTTCATTATTGATTCCTATATACTCCAGCCTACCATATTTTATTATTGCAACAGCCTTTGTCCTTATATTTCATTGGCTATTGTCCCTAACTCCTTATATGTATGCATATCCACACTGGGCCTGTTCCCTCTCCAGATGTACATGTATATGTACTGATTGTATTCTCCATGTGTTAATAAGGGCAAGCAAACATGTTGCATGATCCATAATATTATTATTAAAAGACTATAGTGAGATATTAATCCAATTGCTACTACCAGTGAACCATTTGGTGAGGATTGTATCATTTGTATGGACCATATGGCAATGAGTGGTGGGCATATGTAGCAGCAAATGGTCAGTAAAGGATTGTAGGGGGGGGGCTAATAGTGTCTATTAGTAATGATGGAGTGATGACCATTCCTGTGTATGGCCCACCTGTTATATGAGACTATCCTTTTGACCTTATTAGGATATTTAATGCTGCACAAATGTGCAATGTGTGTACTGGGTGTAAAGTAACATTTTGGAAGTATTAGTATAAGGAGAAAATGATTCATTATATGTATTAAGTAATGTTTAAGGGTGTACAGTAAGGTACCCATATTTGGTGAGCAAATGAATCCATAAAATAGTGAGCATTTACAGTATCTTGTCATTCATGATATGACATTCGAATTTTTATTTTGTGGGTTCATTTTGATCATATAATATATATTAAGTAAATTGAAAAATTAGGAATTAAAAATGAAACACTGGTGCTCAGAATACATGAAAAGGTGCTCTTTTGTGTCCTTGAGCACTAGCTGTTATTTTGACCCTGACAGTGATTACATGCATTTATTTGTTGTTATTATTATTTTCATTTTATTTTTATTTTTATTTAGACAAGAGGGCCTCCTCCTGGTCCCCCCAAATCTTCCAATAATAGCAATCGCTTGAGCTCTACCAGACCATTACCGTC